GACAGGAGAACACACAAACGAACGCACACCCGTTAATAAATCATGAGGAAAAAAAAAAAAAAAAAAAAAAAAAAAAAAAAAAAAAATAAAACGATAATCTATCGGTTTATCTTTTGAAGTTATGCTAGATCATCCGATCTGATTGGAAATGATAAAAAATTTCACTTATTAATCACTTTTATTTTTGATATAAATCAAGTTAATGCCATCTTTTTCTTTGGAACGAAAAAAATGATCACTCGTCAATTATCGAGGATTTTGAGGGTATGTTAATTTTTTTAATTCAATTGTTATAAGTTTTAATAAGTATATAATAGAATTTTAGGTATTTAGAATTAGTTATTATATTGCAAGAACAAATTCACCTTACGCGTTTTATAAGTATTACGAATTAATCCTTAAATTTTAATTATAGAATATTCCTTCCCCATTGAAAAATATTCATGCTCGCAACTATGCACAAGTTCTCGCGGGAGACATTTCAAATAAAAAAATAAAGATATCTAACTTTGAACAAGATAAATATATCAATTACCAAAGGATTCAAGAAAATTTGGCCATTGTTAAGAATCGGTAATGAACTTTTTCATTTTCAAGTTTGTCATAAACTTTAAATAATATTAATGAATCATTTATTCCCTTCGAAATATTTTTCTAGACTTAATAAGCCGTTAACACTTGCCGAAAAAATTGTATATAGTCATTTGGATGATCCTCACGGACAAGATATTGAACGCGGAAAATCGTATCTCAAATTACGTCCCGATCGCGTCGCGTTGCAAGATGCAACAGCACAAATGGCCCTTCTGCAATTCATGTCTGCTGGTATGCCAGAGGTCGCAGTACCTACGACTGTACATTGTGATCACTTGATTGAAGCTCAAGTAGGCGGAGAGAAAGATTTGGCTCGTGCGAAGGATATTAATAAAGAAGTATACGATTTTTTGGCGACTACTACTGCTAAATATAATATTGGCTTTTGGCGTCCCGGTTCTGGTATTATTCATCAAATTGTATTAGAGAACTATGCCTTCCCAGGTGGCCTTATGATTGGTACAGATTCTCACACACCTAATGCTGGTGGTTTGGGTATGGTTGCCATTGGGGTTGGCGGTGCTGATGCTGTCGATGTCATGGCCGATATTCCATGGGAATTAAAATGTCCGAAGGTAATTGGCGTTAAATTAACCGGTACAATAAGTGGTTGGACAGCCCCTAAAGGTACGTGACAAAAAATCAATTACTCAATGATAGCATTAATATTTAAATTTTAATGAAAAAATTTTTTTTATTTTTATTTTTCTATTTTTATATATTATTAGATGTTATTCTTAAGGTAGCCGGTATTTTGACAGTCAAAGGCGGTACTGGTGCCATCGTTGAATATTTTGGTCCTGGTGTTGAATCTTTATCATGCACCGGCATGGCCACAATCTGCAACATGGGTGCCGAAATTGGTGCCACCACATCACTTTTCCCTTTTAATAGACGTATGAGTGAATATCTCCATGCCACAAATCGTTCAGAAATTGCATCTTTCTCTGAATCCTTTGCTCATAATTTGCGTGCTGATGAGGGCGCACACTATGATAAAGTAATAGAGCTTAATTTATCGGAATTAGAACCTCATATTAACGGTCCATTCACGCCTGATCTTGCAACTCCCTTAAGTAAATTTAAAGAAGAGGTGGTTCGAAATGAATGGCCAACAGAGTTGAAGGTTGGATTAATCGGTTCATGTACAAATTCATCATACGAAGATATGTCTCGAGCATCTTCAATAGCCAAGCAGGCCATCGACCATGGATTAAAAGCAAAGTCGTTGTTCACGGTTACGCCTGGGTCCGAACAGATTCGGGCTACCATTGCACGTGATGGTCAAGAAAAGATATTAAAAGATGCTGGTGGCGTTGTTCTCGCCAACGCTTGTGGTCCTTGCATTGGACAATGGGATCGTCAAGATGTTAAAAAAGGCGAAAAGAATTCGATCATTACGTCATACAACAGAAACTTTACGGGACGTAATGATGCTAATCCTGCCACTCATGCATTTGTAGCATCTCCTGATATCGTAACTGCATTTGTTTTCTCAGGTGATCTTCGATTCAATCCCATAACTGATACACTCAAGGATGGCAATGGAAATCCTTTCAAATTTACAGATCCAAAAGGTAGTGAATTACCAATTCGAGGTTATGATCCCGGTGAAAATACTTACCAAGCACCCCCAAAGGATCGTTTAACTGTTCAAGTTGTGGTAGATCCAAAAAGCAAACGTCTTCAATTATTACAACCATTCTCTAAATGGAATGGTAAGGACGCCGAGGGATTACCCATTTTAATCAAAGTCAAAGGAAAATGTACTACTGATCATATTTCCATGGCCGGTCCTTGGTTGAAATTCCGAGGACATTTAGACAACATTTCAAATAACATGTTGATTGGCGCTGTTAACTCTGAGAACGGTGCTGTTAATAACGTCAAAAATGTTCTCACTGGACAATATGATGCCGTTCCTAACGTTGCTCGCGACTATAAAGCCAAAGGTAAAACTTTGGCATTAATTTATATTTCAATGTTTTGAGCATTTTCCTCAATTTGTTTGTTTTTTTTTAGGTATTTCCTGGGTTGTGATCGGAGATGAAAATTACGGCGAAGGGTCATCACGCGAACATGCTGCTCTCGAAGTACGACACTTGGGAGGCACAGCTGTAATTGTAAAATCCTTTGCTCGTATTCATGAAACCAATCTTAAGAAACAAGGGCTTTTACCATTGACATTCACCAATCCATCTGATTACGATAAGATCGATCCAACTGACAAAGTGTCTATTCTTGGTCTTACTAGCTTCGCACCTGGTAAAAATTTAACACTTCGACTTAATAAGAAATCTGGGGAAACGGTAGACATTCCCGTTAGTCATACATTTAATGATAATCAAATTGAATGGTTTAAGGCCGGATCAGCCTTGAATCGCATGGCTGAAAAACATGCACATTAAAAAAAAAAAATTATTCGGGAACAAAGTTAGTAATTGCGATTAATTCATGTAATTCATGTGTATATTATAAAAAAAAAAAAAAAAGAGTATTATATTTATATAGCGATAATAAATGAACATTATTTAAATCTTTCATTATTATATATTTTTTGAATTTGTTATTAATTTCAACATTCTACTAAAAAATAAAAATAAAATAAAATCAGAATAAGAAAATCTTTTCGTTAAATTAACAATTAGTAAATAAAACTTAAAATCGATTACTAAATACCAACATTTGTAGAGATATTAAATATATTTCAATTGTAACAATTAAAGCTAATAAATAAATGCTAGGTAAAAAAAAAAAAATAAGTTATAATAAAAATTGCAATATGCAAAACAAAAAAAAAAAAAAAAAGGAAGAAATGAATGAATGAATGAATGAAAAGATACATTGCAAACTTAAACTACTAATCACCACCTCCAGTATCAATACCTGATGGAGGGGGAGGTTGTGTTGAACCTCCACCATTACCACCATTACCACTAGCTTGTCTCTTTGTTTTCTTAGCCCATCTAAGACCACAGGCGTTACATAAACTTTAAAATGACATTTTGCAATAATGAATATTGCAATTTGCAGATTTTGCAAAAGTCATATAAGACCGGTGTTATCATTGATTATTATTATTATTATAATTATTATTATGATTTTTTTTTTTTAAAAAAAAAAAAAAGAATTAATGATTTTACAAAAATATTTAAAAGTTAATAAAATAAGTATTATCACATACGTCTTTGGTCCTAGTGGACCTTTTCTCCATTCCGGTGATTCCACAGTACCACAATCCGTGCAGACATATTCTTCTTCCTCGACCTTGGGCTTTTTCTAAAAAAGTTTTTTTTATTTTTTTGAATAATAAATAAAAATAAATAAAAAAAAAGTTCATGATCTCTTATTAAGATATCAAACCTTTTTTCGTGACCTTGAAGAAGTTGTGGTAATCGTTGAAGGTGGAAGAGCAGGTTCGTGTTGAGCGGAGGTTTGCGTAGATAAAAGGTTGTCGTCTCTTGAAGACGATTTTGCCATATCTACAGCCATTAAACTTTCGTTCAGTAAAGTTGGGTCATTTGAGCCAGTGGAAATTCCTCTGGCACGCTCACCCTCCTGGTATCGTAAACCAGTCAAATATTCTAACGGATTACTTGAATCATGAAGTCCTTCAGGGATAACAGCTCCGGCAGCTAATCCCTCGGTGGTGGTAGGAGTGGTAGTGTTAATCCCGCTGATACTGCCGCTGCCACTAGCCTCAGCTGGAGTTTCTGATGGTCCAATTAACTCACGAAGTTGACGACGTAAATTTTCATTTTCAACTTTTAATTCCAAAAATGAATCTAACATTGCTGTTGTCTTTGAAGGATAAGCTCTACCCATACTATAAAAACATTTACAATTACCAGCTGAATTACTTTCACCAAAGTAAGGATGACCGTTAACCTCAAGGATTATAAATTTGTCATCCTTCTTGCGAAATCGATAGTAAAGAGTAAAACTAGCCTTGTTTTGAATGGCCATATTAAAATCCCTACGGAACATATCAATATCATCAACGTGAATAAAGTCCTTTATGTTACGATTGACTAATTCTTCTGGAGTATAACCCACCAGTTCTGTTGAAGAAGGTGAACAATACATAAGTTTTCCCGTTGGTGAAATGACGTGCAAGAAATCTTTTAATTCTTCAATGATTCGTTGTGACTAATTCTTTCTCTTTGTAAACTCTGTCATGCTTGTTGTAGCAGTTGCACCACTACTGGTAGTAGCAACAGCGGTGCCAGACCCTGATTGAACAACGGAGGAGATAGAAGAACTTGCGATAGCATTTCCAACTCCTCCAATTACACTCCTTGAAGATCCAAGGTTGGCAGCCACGGCAGCAGCAGCAGGATGATAACCTTCGCCCAAGATTTTCCGGTCCATCAAAAATCGTTGGTATTCGGGTGTGTTTGTATTAAAATTTTCCATATCAATTGGGTTATAAAGATATTTTGATCACCACAAGACGACGATAAGTAGTATATTTATAACTGATTTGCTTCTCGTAAGATTCCAGATAAAGTTAGTATTCGCTTTTTAAGGGTAAGGGGTTACAAACTTAAACAAATACAACCCTGATATTCTTCCTTTTCTACGTTGGACAAAGTCATATGACTCTCATATTCAGAAATTAAACATCGATCGATTATAGCAGAATTATATTATTTGTCAGACGTGAGCTCATAGGAGGACTTTCATGTGATTGGTCGATAAGGTTACACGAATTTTGTAATTGATATTGTAATTTTTTATACATA